ACCAAAGAAAATGTAATTTCCATGACCGAGAATATATCTTTTTAAACATTAATTCAGCATTTAGTTCTTTTAGTAGCACAATTTGTGATGTCATCTTACATATTAATTAGTAGACTTTTAGCTCAGATGATACTACTAATTCTCTGATTTTAGAGCATTATGGCATAATAGAAAATGGGCTACATTTAATTAGAATTAGAAAGCCTAACAAAATTTGGACATCTATTGCTATTTACTAGTCATGTGATCCTGAGTGTAAGTTTATTTAAAGTTCTCTACTAAGGAGATGCTATTAAATATTTTTCCCTCTCTCCTCACTCAAATTTTTAAATTATTTATTTTTTGGTAGGGGGGCTTTTCTAGTAATGGCAGCGTGGTAGCACTAGAGAGAAAGTGGCAAGCATCAGATTTGTTATTTGTTTCTTCTGTACTTATCAATATTTCATTAGTTTTCTTTTTATGATACAGATGGAGTACTGTAGTTTTTTCCTTGCTTTAGCACTGTAGCTATATAACTATGTTACTGTATAATCAAATATGATAATAACATCTGCTTTAGCAACATTAATTCTTCTACTGAACCATTGCTTGTGTTAAGACATAATTCATTGCTTTGTGTTTCATTTTCAGATCAAGAAAAAGCTTTTTTTTTTGGATGGGTAGCAATATGAGTATTGAACCTGTAAATGTTCACCTTGCAGATAAGGGTAATGTGGTGAAGACCATCATCCCCTGATGAAAAATGAATGTCACATGGTCCATTATCTAGCTTTTAGAGCAAGTATTCTTAAAACTGTTTCTCTGCTCTTTTGGTTAGAAACATTTTTAAAAAGGAACAGATTTTTCTGGCATAAGTAATTTGTTACCTAAGAAAACTGTCTTTTTCACTGTTCATTTTAAGGGTATTTTATTGTTTTTAAAAAGTTTCTTAAAGATTGATATTTTTAGAGGGAGCGTAATAGTTTTACCTGTATCGTAAAAGTATCTTCTGAAATCTGTGGCATTAAGATCAAGAGGTCACTTTTAAATATAGATTTTGATGTTGGGAATTATTCTTCCCTAATACAGTTTTTTTTTTAATCACATTAATTTCAATATTATGTACCTAAGTTGTCCCTGTGGTTTTACACACATAGCATTTGGTATACATATTTTAGTTTGTATACATATATTTTAGTTACTAGTTTGCTACACTTACTAGCCTGATAACAAGACATTGTAAGTACAAATAATACTAATTTGGTCTACCATGATGCTTATTTGCCTATAAATAGTTAAAGTGTTGCTAATGATGATATAGTACTCGATTTGTATTCTTAATGGCATTTTAATACTTTTCCCTTGGTTACAATATAATGTTCATAGGGGAAATTTTGGAAAATATAGAAAAAAAGAAAACACAGTTTGAAGAAAAAATACATTATTTAAAGCCATTACTTTGAATGCTGTATTTGTCTCTGTCTCTTGCTGCCTCTGTTTTTCTGACTCTCCTGTGTTTGTAAGTGTGGATGTTCGTATGAAAAAACACAAGTTTAACCACCTAATAGAAAATACTGCTGAATATTTTTTCCTGAGCTCGGAATGAATAAAGTCTTTACAATAACTTTAAAACAAAACGAAGGGGCTTCCCTGGTGGCGCAGTGGTTGAGAGTCTGCCTGCCGATGCAGGGGACACGGGTTCGTGCCTCGGTCCGGGAGGATCCCACATGCCGCGGAGCGGCTGGGCCCGTGAGCCATGGCTGCTGAGCCTGCGCGTCCGGAGCCTGTGCTCTGAAACGGGAGGGGCCACAACAGTGAGAGGCCTGCGTACCGCAAAAAAAAAAAAAAAAAAAGCAGTGGTTCAATATTACTTTAAGGTAAAAATCTTCAGAACATGAGCAGCTTCTTATATTTTTCACTCTGGTCACTCCCTGGTAATTTCCTTTAATTTTGTTTGCAGAACAGATCCTTGACCTTTGTCTGAATTTTGTGTGTTTTAAAAAACTGATGAGAGATCCCCCTCTAGTGTCTGAATTATCCATTCTCAAAACATTTGTGTCAGTCATAAGAAGTTTTAGGAATTAAGCTGAATGTTTTTTCCTTTCACATCTGGACATAACTTTTTTTTTTTAACTTTTCTTTTTTGGGGGAGAGGGGAGGAGTTATTTTCCTTTCTTAAAAAGGGCATTGGAATTATGGGTAGGGTGTGGATTGAGGGCAATAGAAAACATGGGAAAGGAAGGATCAAAATGCCATTTCTACCTTTTTAGAAACAGTTATTTTTAAATGACCTGGAATAAGGCCAAACTATACAGTGTTGTTTTGTTTTAGTTTATATTTGTTTCTGAATTAAGTGCAGCTTAAAAATACTTTGTTTTGGAATTCTTTATGCCATCGGATCTCATCTTGAGCATTCCAGTCTCTGGAAAGCAGCGGTATTGTTAGAAAATGGTTTTAAAATAGAGCCTGATACTCTTCATGGAGGTGTTCTAACTTTGTTACTTTTTGTTACTATTGTTGCCATAGTTTTCCATGTTGTTGCCATTTTATATTTTATGTTGTGTGTTTAATGGCAAATTGTCCTTTTACATAGTTCCCATGGTTTCTTAACCAAGGAAATAGGGAGATTCTTAAGCTATTGGCTCTCTGCCACCTCTTCCTCTTAAACACACAGCACTCAAACACATATAGGCCTTCAGCTAAGAATCTTGTGAAGGGTTAGGGAAACAGGACCTTTCTCATTTGACCCATGGGTTTTTGTAGCTTGAACAAGGAAAGTAGTGTTCGGAAAGCTACAGCATTTATGAAGGCTCTAGTAAAAATATTTCATGTACATGAGCTAGAGATTAACTCTTCATCTTGTTCTCCAACAAATTAAACAGTGCAAACAATTTCAGGTGCATTCTTGGTCATGAAATGCTTGGATGAATTATAATTCTAATTGCTATTGTTCATTCCCACAGCTACACTTTTAACTGCCTAAGCCGTGCATTCTTCAGCCAGTAGGATAAACAACAACATTTTGAAATCCATTATTTTGTGGCATCTTAAATTGCAAATGTGTCATTGCCTGCCTTAATTTTATTTTGATTCAGTTGTTAACAAAATTAGAAAAAAAGTTACTATTTCTTTATATTTATACATAAAATTTTTAATAGAATGATTATGGGGTTTTTATAAAAATACATTCATTAATAGTCTTAAATTTTGAAGGAGGCAGTGGAGACCAGGGATTTATTTTAGTGCCATGGAAATAATCTGTATTTGTTATCAAACAGTTGATATTTTAGGAGAAAGAAAGTAATAGGATTTCGCTTTTCTACCTTAATAGAACAGTATTCTGAATGTAAATCTAGAAGCCATATTTATTCTGTGATTTGTCAATTCATATATATGCATAATGGTTCCTTTAAAATTTGAACTGTTTATTAATTGAAGTATTTGTAATAAATTTGAAATTTATATTTGAGAGATTCGAGTGCCAATTATAATCAAGCCTTCCTTATTTAAAACAACTTTTTGATGACTGAAAAACCGTACAGCAAAAGTGGGGTAGATGTAAGTAATAAGAGTTAACCAAATTCTTATTTTTTCACTATTTCTAAAACTCAATTTTAAGTGGAAGATTTGAATTACCATATTTACAGGCATCTGTTATATAACAATTATTCAGTAATAATTGGAGTGTTACATGTCAAATGAGTACTACTATAATATGTCACATTTCCACAGTATGTATTCCTCAGAATGTCTTTGAATTCTTCAATCCATATAAGCATGAGAAATTCTTTTTTAACAACCACACATTTTGCCATCTCATCTCTTAATTGTAAGATATTCTTTTCAAAGTTAGTTCTTTCTTATAAAAATATTACTTAATATTGATATTTTAAAATTCTAATAGGTGATATTATCTCTAATAATAATAGCTAACTTTTATTGAGCACTTCCTCTATATGTCAGACACTGTACCATTGTGTATCATTTGGTATGTTACCCTTTGAGATAGTAGTAGTTTTCTTCTTTATTCCCATTTTACATTTGAGGAAACATTAAGAGAAGTATTGGGTTGGCCAAAAAGTTCGTTCAGATTTGTCTGTAAGATCTTATGGGAAAAACCCGAACGAATTTTTTGGCCAACCCACAAAATAATTTTGCCAAAGATCACAAAGTAAGTTAATTGGAGTCAGATCTTTCTGACTCCTAGAATCCATGTTCTTGACCACTGCTGAAGTCTTAAGTGAAAGTTAAATACATTATGATGCAGTCTCCAGATGGAATATTATGTAGCCATTAGAAATGAGGGCTGGGACTTCCCTGGCGGTCCAGTGGTTAAGACTCTGCGCTTCTACCACCGCAGGGGCGCGGGTTCGGTCCCTGGTTGGGGAACTAAGATCCCACATGCTGTGCAGCACAGCCAAAATATAAATTAATTAATTTAAAAAAAACAACCACTGAGGGTTACAGTGACTACACAGTGACATAGAAAACACATGTGGTACAGTAAGTGAAAAAAGACAAGGACTACAGTTAAATGTTCATAGTGGTTCTAAACATCTTTAGACTTATCTTTGATTTTTCATTGCTTTTTTTATACAGTATAAATAACATTTAGCTTTTATATAATTTTGCTCATTAAAGAATTTCTGTGAACAGGAAACCTAAGACTGCATGTAAACCAGGTCTGGCCAGCAAAATGACAGCTTTATAATAGACTGTAGCATGTTCAGTTTCCTTTTTAATTTGACCTAAAGCCATTTCTTACTGGACTTATGCCAGCTCTAATGTAATCTCTCATCTGTATTCTTGAAGCCTAATGGAATAGTAAAATCTTCTTAAAGATAACTTAAATGTGTTATATAGTGTCCTCAGGGTAGCTTGTGCACAAAAGATGTTTTCTTTCCCACCCTGTAGAGGTATCTCATTAGGACACCCAGTAGTGTCATTATTAAGTTTTCATGTGTTTCTCAGTTTTGATGCTAATCTTTGTGCGTATGTGCATGCATTTTTTTTCTCTGCAGCACCAATGTGGTTATGAATTATTCAGAGATAGAGTCTAAGGTTCGAGAAGCAACGAATGACGATCCTTGGGGACCTTCTGGGCAACTCATGGGAGAGATTGCCAAGTAAGTGATAATTTGACTCAGCAGTGCAGAAAGAATGCAGCTATCTTCACCCAGAAATGTGAAATTTGCTTTCAGTTTTAAACTGTTTAGCTGCCAGATATAAATTTTGCATATAATCATTCATGTATTAGTGGGCGAAGTTCTACAGAGGATCCATTCCCCTTAGATATTAGCTCAGAAAAGTAAAACAAAATTTTTCTTTTTCAATGAAGTTTAGACAAACTTTGTTAAAATTTTGACAAATGCATATAAAATGACTTAAAATAAAGCTAGGAAAATTTTTTCCTGATGAACATCTGGACGATTATACCAGTGAATGAAGGGCTTGTAAAATATGATATTAATTAGTGGGACTTATGAATGTGCTCAATGTTGTATAAAATATAAGAAAGACATTTTTAAGGAAGCATATCTAAAGTTTTTTGAATTAAGCTTATTAATTTTTTAAAGCTCTTTAGGAAAACACAGAACAAGCCTGCCATCTACTGTCAGAATTAACACACTGCAAACTCTTAAGGAAAATTATTCTTTTTTCAGGGCTACATTTATGTACGAACAATTTCCAGAACTTATGAACATGCTTTGGTCACGAATGTTAAAAGACAACAAAAAAAATTGGAGAAGAGTTTATAAGGTATGGGTTTTAGTCTGTATTTATTATTTGACACGTTGAAGACAAATGCTTGAAGTTTTAAGGTGTACATACATAAGTGATTATGAAGGATGTTGAATCCTAGAATAGAATATTCTAAAACAGGTAAAAGAAGTAGATTTGCTGTTTGTGTTCTGTTTTCTAGTCACCATAAACCACTCTTCATATATTTGTCCATATCGAAAGTAATGAATCTATAGTAGTATGCATGTTTAGTGTATGAGCAATTAGGATGAAAACCACCCTCTAATATGCTTTGTCATCTCTACATAAAAATTTGCCAGTATTATTACAGTATTGTACACCAAAAATATGTGTTAAATTTAAGCATAACAGGAGATTCTAAAGCATTAAAATTCTAACTTTTTAAAATTTGCAAATATGTACTCTTTTGTTAGATTCTTTTCATTTAATACTGATCTCATCATATAATGTAGAATTCTAAAACAAGATAGTAATCTGTTCTTCCATCCCCACGATATTTTCTTGCTGCTCAGAAAGTTTTTCTGTGCTTTCCAAAATGGTGTTATTATATTTATATTTGAAACTTTGAAAGCAACGTTTCTGGCTTTCAGTATTGAAAATCAATGCTTTATTTAGTTCCATGTTTTTGATGTTGTTTGTCTCTGAAAACATTCACTGTCATTCCTTTAGCTTATACAGTAGTAGTGATGAAATAGTTTAAATTTCTATAAATTAATTTTTTAAATTAGAGCTTTTTGTTTGTTTTAATAATTCTTGGGTAAACTACTTTTTTAACGAATAAACTCCTGGTAGAATGAGGGTTTTTTGCCCCTCAATTTCTTCAACCTAACTAGATTTTCATAGATCTAATCATCTTTATGTGAGGTTTGTTCCAAACAAATCTAAGTTCAGAATTCATAATTCATTGGTTTTTAGTGCATTCACAAAGTTGTGTAGTAATTACTAACGTCTAAACCAGAACATTTTCATCACTTCAAAAAGAAATCCCGTAAACATTCTTTTCTCATATTTGTTGGCAGCGAGTTTTTTTTTTCCTTTGATTCTTTTTTTTTACGTGTCAGCATAAATCACCTTTTTAGCAGAAAATATCTATATTTTCCAAAGCAAGCAGCAAGAACAAAAGCCATATCATAAACCTCCCAAATTAAATTTTATCTGGGAAAAATGCTGTGAGGTCATATAATTACCAAATAATTGTTCTCTTTAAACTGATGCTTCTAACACTAAAACTGAACCAGCTTTCTAAAAAGCTTAGTGTTCATTTATATCATACATTCAGATATTTAACATCTAAGTTTTTTTTTTAATCTTTTGACACGTGTATCCAGTGGACAGTTTATAATTACTTAGTACGCTTGGTATAAGAGGAACTTTAAGTTGATAGTAAGAGTTTTTAAAGGTACTTTAAAAGTCTAATGTAAGGTAAAGAACCCACATACACATACGCACACAGAGATTATTTATTTGCAATGTTAGAATTTTTTTTTTTTAGCCATTTACCAGAGCTCTACCAGAATTTATTTCATTAAATCTCATTTGGTGCTTTGTATTTTTACAGTCATTGCTGCTCCTAGCTTACCTCATAAGGAATGGATCAGAGCGTGTTGTTACAAGTGCCAGAGAACACATTTATGATTTGCGATCCCTGGAAAATTACCACTTTGTAGGTGAGCAATGGAAAAACCTATAAGCAAATTAAAACAGTAGTTGGAGTTGTCAGTCACCTGAACCAGCTTAGAAGCTTCTCCACTCTAATTAGAATGTGACTGTTGCTGGTTGTGTGACGAGTGCAGAATCCAAGACGTGGGGCCCTAGAGTATTAATTAGTGAAGACAAGAACTTGCAGAAAATACTGGCTAATAACAACAGAACCAACACAACATGAGTGTTCGGGTTTATATTAAAATATGCACTGGAGACTGGTCCCCTGTGGTGTCCATAAAGGAATAGCTTTAATCATATGGGAAGAAAAGGTTAGAGCTCCAAAACACACACATCTGTTTGAAGCTGGGGGTTTTTTTTCCTCCCACCAAATAATATTTACTGTGCAAAGGCAGCAAGGCCAGAGTGTGTTTTGAATGTGAAAGAGGATACAGAATGAACCACATTTCATTTTGTAGCATACCCCAGTTGAAAGCATTTTAAAAATTCAGTTTTTCAGCTACACTAAATCCTGGTAATTAGTGTTTCCAAACTTGTATTGGGGAGACAAAGGCGTTTGGGTGCTTTTCAGTCATTAAAATGTACGTTTTGTTTTGTTTTGTTAAAATACCATAGAAAAAGAAAATAACATTTTTGGATATTAGTCCATTTTGTATGGTTATTGTTAGTAATCATTTTTAGTGGATCTTTAATTGATTTTGCATAGAACCGTTATCTGTGGTCCTTTTTAGTTCATCTTTGCACTCTCTTATAAGCCAAAATTGCATCTCAAGACTTAGGATTTGATGAGGAAATGACAAAATTCAATAACACAATTTGCCTCTTTTTATTCACTTTAAAATATTGAAGTTGGTTTCTTGTGTTGAAATTTTCATGTCTTTTTTGTGTGTGTTAAAGAGTTTGATACATATTAACTGAATTCTTAAGGTTTTGTTTCTCCCTTACCATCCTCACAGATGAGCATGGCAAGGATCAAGGTATAAATATTCGCCAGAAGGTGAAAGAATTGGTTGAATTTGCCCAGGATGATGACAGGCTTCGTGAAGAGCGAAAGAAAGCAAAGAAGAACAAAGACAAATATGTTGGGGTTTCCTCAGACAGTGTTGGAGGATTCAGATACAGTGAGTATCAAAGACAGACTGGCACCTAAGCATCAGTTTAGCTTCTTGGGTGTATTTTAAGAATCATTGAAATACAGAAGACAAAAATGCTATTTTGAATACATACAATACTGAGATATATGTAATACTCATTTTGGCTCCTGTGGATCTTAGGAATCTTTCTATTTTTTACTTTTGTGTTTCAAGAATATGATTTTAACCATTAAGCATTATTGAATGACGAAACTTTGAGTTGACATACAGAGAATAAAATAGATATATGCCCTTTCCTCTTGGGGTTCCCATTCTAAGAAAAAAAAGGATTTCTGTAACTTACCATGTAGAGCATTAAAAAAAAAGTTTGATGAAGAGATTCATCCTCCTAATTCAAAACCAGTTTAGTTCTATTTTTGGCCAAAAATAGAGCTACAGTTTAGTCCATCCTGAGTCTGTTCCCTTAATTAAGCACTGCGTTAATTTGATGTAGAAAAAGGTAACTGACAATACCATCAGTTTTTCATCTAGGCCTATCACTGTATTGTTCCTAACATATTTAAGAACAGCTAGAACATTCATCTCTCATGTTTATTTTTAATGTAATAATATGGTTTTCCTAAAATAGATCACTAGGCAGGTGCTTGAAACAGATACAGAAAATAAGAACTCTCTTTCATGTTCCTTTGGACTCGTTCTGTCTTCTCTGAACACTGACAGTCCCTTGTCATTTTGTATATACACAGACAGGCCAGTGCCACGTATACTTAGCAGCTGCATATTGGGGATCTCTAACTGCCCCCCCAACCATATCTAAGTTTGTTTATATTTGAATTATACTGAGATCTCGTAGCTCCTTCATTGTAACTGTGTAAAAATCTTCTATTTCTTACCTTGCGGGTATCTATAAAATGTCTTCGCTCCTTTGCTCCTCTGCTTTCTTGCCCTCAAATTAAAAATACTGCACTTAATTGGTTAATGTTTCTAACAGCAGAAAAATTCTTTTTAATGTCCCATATCACATTTAAGTCAGTTCTTGAATTGGGCAAAAATGTTTCTCTTAAATAAATCACATAAATATGTTTTGGAGTTTTTATTTGTTTAGGGGAGTAAGAAGTCTTTCAATTATTTACCCAAGTAAATATTTTATTCTTTAGATTTTTCAAAGTAGCTTTAGCAGTTTAATGTGTTTTTGAGTAGAAAGAGCTGTTCGCCACTCCTTTCCTCATTCTACTTGCTAGTAGTCCTTTTTTTAATCAGCACAATATATAATTAGATAAATTTAGACAATTGAGTAAGTTTTTAGACTTAGAGTGAACTAATTACATCATCTGCATTAGAGATAGAGTTGAATGTCCTGTGCATTGCCTTCTTTTATAAATTATTTTTAATGTTATATATATTATTCAGAGACTTAATCAACTTTAGCTATTTTACATGCTTTTTATTTTGACATTAGATAATGTTTTGCCAATATCCAGTATCTCTGGCACTCATTTAGTATGATGTCCACCGTGCTAATTTAGTTTTCACCTGCTTTCATTTATCCTGTAAATTTGTTTCTTTTCAAAGTCTAGTTCATCACATTGTTACTGAAGTGTACATATACATTGTTGGAGAGCCATTCATTTTTATAATACCATCCTGGCTTAAATTTTGTCTAGAAAACATTTTTTTCATGTTCTCTTTAAGTTGGTGGTCACTTTCAGATTTAGTAGACATATTTTTAAATCCTCAAACTCTCACAGAAAATTTTGGCTTTGCAGTTTTACTGAGTAATTCAGCAAAATGGTTTTGTTCGACCTCCAAAGGGCATGTATGCCATCAGAACTTGTTAACCAAAGTTTAAACAAAAGCTCAGTTATCCACCTTTTGATTATGTTGCTGTTTCTCATTGGTCTTTCCTTTTTCTCTGCACCCTGCCTTAATTTTCGGTCTTCTTTTTAACCACGCATGATTTTTCTGCACCTTGTACTCTTGCCTCTTGAGTTTGGACATGAAAATGGAAATGGAAAAGGGTCCATTTAGCGCCTGTAATTCCTATCTCTTCTTTAGGCCCTCAAAGTCAAGGACTAAAACAAATCTTGACATTTTGGGGCTTTTTTCACTGCCAGTGATCTACTATCTCCATTATCAAATTCACACAGAGGCTCCCTAGGTTTTGCCAGTCCCAGCATAATGTTTGGACTTGGTGTTCGAATAGATCATCACTGTTCTGAACTGCTTGAGCATATTTCATGATTCTAGTCTGTATAGTTTTTGGTAGTTAGAATATTCTTTTCTTTTTAAAATAATTGAAGGATGCTTTCCCATGCCATGAATTACATTTATTTTTCTAGTTTGATGGTAAAGAATGACAGTTATGAGTCTTTACAGTATATTGGGATATGTAGCATTCAGAGTAGTGTTTCCTGTAGTTGGTGTTTTGTAAGAGATTGTTGCTGTCCAGTGCTTTTCTAATAATTGAAAAACCATTAAGAAATGGGAATGAAATATAATGCATTAAGTGACTTTTGTGAAAACAAAAGATTTCCATTTCTCTTTTGCTTATATAGCTCGTGTTGGTTTTTGTGTTTTCCTCTACTCCTTTCAGCAGCCCTTAAGAACTTCCTGATATGCTGTGCTGTGCATTAAGGTTGTGTTAGTTTCCATAAACAAAAGCTTTTGAATCTGCATTCTTGCCACTTAATGACTGGCACTACATGCTGTGCCTTGCTGCAATTGTGTTGATTCAGCACTGTGGGAGCTTTCTGTTTTCCTTTGAAAACTATTTTATTATGAGGAAAAGTTTCAGAAATAAGGACTATAGACACCTTTTGAATTTAATGTCCTTAGAGTTGCTTCTTTTTTTAATGCTTTATATAGGTGAACGATATGATCCTGAGCCTAAATCAAAATGGGATGAGGACTGGGATAAAAGCAAGAGTGCTTTTCCATTCAGTGATAAATTAGGTGAACTGAGTGATAAAATTGGAAGCACAATTGACGACACCATCAGCAAGTTCCGGAGGAAAGATAGAGAAGACTCTCCAGAAAGATGCAGGTATTATTAACACTTTGTCTCCTGGGTCTCTTGGAAAGGGTACTAAATTGACACAGCTGGGTCTTGGGTTTTTTTATTTGTTTTGGGTGTTGGCATTATCTGAAATTCAGCTTTATTTGTTTGTTTCTTTAATTTATTTTTTAGAGCAATTTTAGCTTCACAGAAAAATTGTGCATAAAGTACAGGGAGTTGCTGCATAACCCCACCTCTCCGAGTGCAAGAATGCATGCACACACACACGGTTTCTCCTGTTATTAACATCTTGCATTAGTGTGGTACATTTTTTAACAATTGATAACCAATATTATTAACTAAACTCTTCAGTTTGCATTAGGGTTTACTGTGTTGTATAGTTGACAAATGCATAGTATCCACCATTACAGAACCATACAGAGTAGTTTCACTTCCCTAAAAATGCCTTGTGCAAAAATATGGAAAAATTCATGAATTTGCATGTCAGCCTTGCATGGGGACAGGCTAATCTAGTTCCCTGACGAGGGATTGAACCGAGACCATGGCAGTGAAAGTGCCAAGTCCTAACCACTGGACCACCAGGGAATTCCCAGGTCATGCGAATTTTCACTGTATTGTTCCATTTTTAGTATATTTGCTGCTGATTTATACATATATATAGTGTGTGTGTGTGTATTTACACACATATATACAGTGCAGCTGTTTATAAGATGCTATGTCAGACATTTGCATTTAGTATTGACACACTTTCCTTGTCTGTGTCCATTTATTTCTAAAATTGATCACATTTCCTGTATGTTTTTATTCAGGCCATTTATTGGAATTTTTTTTCCCAGTAAGAACTTTGATAGCTTATTTTGCAATTGGGCATCTGATGATCCAGGGATCTAAGGTATTGCTGAGGGATAATGAAGTTCATTATTTTATTAGATTTAAACAAAAGTTAGGGGTTTGAAAATTCTTCCTGTGACATTTCATTAAGATTCTGTGTCAGTTTATACCAGAAAAAAAAAAATCCAGATGGATATTTGGACTAAAATGTTTTTGAGTATGACCTATATTTTCATAGATTACTGACATATTTAATTTGGGGCATATGAAAAACACAGTTCTTTTACTCGTTCTGTATTTTTTTCCTTTCGCATGTTAAGAAGAAGAAAAAATCTTTGAATGTGCCTGAAAAGGAATTCTTTTAAAATATTTTAAATATATTTAAATTTTCTGTAAAGCAGTTTTCTTAGTTTTGTGAAAGTTTGATCTCGTGATTCTATATAGTAAAATAGAGCATAGTTCTTGTAAAGTGCATTACCTCATTTTTCTGCATTTACAGATGAGAGTTTAATCATTTGAATGCAGATAGGATAATATTTAAAAGATATCCATTGAAATTATAGTATTTTATTATATATTTGCATTAGTATATGAGAGTCAGTGACAGAATCATGTTATATAAATGGAACTGTAGTTGTTGCACAGTCCATTTCAAGAAAATGGTTATCAAATGCAGCTATTTGAGCTCCTAGACTCTAATCAATTGATTCTGATATGAGAATAATCCTGCTATTTTATTTTTTAATTAAGCTTTAAATCTATAATAAATAAGCACTTGAATTATTTCAGGCTTTTTTATTTGTACACATTTATGTAAATACTTTTTTGTAGCAGTATTTTAGACTTACCTGGGGAATTTGATGGGTTCCCACTTCCGCTCCCCAGTGCATACATATGATTATTCAGATAGCTTAGATAACATTCTCTTGATCCCTGTCAGATAGTCAAAGTGTGGAATTTTGGAGTTACTACATTTGAAATTCTTTAGCTCAAATCACTGAGGGCTCCATTTTAAAGTAATCCCTAGTCTTATTATTTTCCTTCTTTTTTAATATCTTTTAGTGACAGTGATGAGGAAAAGAAAGCAAGAAGAGGCAGATCTCCCAAAGGTGAATTCAAAGATGAAGAGGAGACTGTGACGACAAAACATATCCATATCACACAGGCCACAGAGACCACCACCACAAGACACAAGCGCACAGCAAATCCTTCCAAAACCATTGATCTTGGAGCAGCAGCACATTACACAGGGGACAAAGCAAGTCCAGATCAGAATGCTTCAGCTCATACACCTCAGTCTTCAGTTAAGGTGGGAATGGCACGAGTTTACACATTATACACAGTTTTATTCTTATAAGTTACTTTTAGAATTACTGCATTAGTAGTCTCAGGCATTTCTAGGTAATCATATTAATTATAGATCATCTGGCATGTATTAGTCATTAATAATAAGAAATCTCTTTGGAGGAAGAAACCTGTCCAATTGCTGAATGATTATCTATGTACTTTCTATGAAAATAGTAATAACACTCTTGGTTCACTTGGGAAAGGTTGTGAATCAGAATGTAGTGCATCTGTTTCCTTCTGGACACCACCACTGGTACCAAGTGTGAGATTCACTAAGGAAAACATGGTAGTGTTTGGAAATTGTAAGAAATGACCACTTGTATATATGACAAGTAGTTATATAGCGGAACTGGTCTTGTTTAATACAGAGATCGTTCCTCTGAAAAGAAGGTTTATTTGCCCTGTGGTCAGTATTGATCAGTAGCAGCACTAATTCTTGTAACTGTCTTCACTTTTTATTCCGCACAGAAATGAAATCCACCTGATAGATACCTGGCTGCAAGCTAGTCTTTTGGACAGAAATCTGCCTAAGAGGGAGGTTTGCCCTGAAAGCCTCAATAGTTGTTTTGTTACTCTCCCCCCACTAGTATTCACCCAGCTTGTATCTTTGCATCAAATGTAGCTGAAAGCTAGGGAAAATATTTTTCTAATGTATCTTGCAAATTGCAGGGGACTCTAAAAATAAAGCTAGTCCTACTTAGTGTCAAGAACTGTGTCAAGTTTTCCCACATATCTTCTGGTGTATAATTTCACCCATATTGTGCTCGTTTTAGTTTTGAGGAAAACCTCAAAATTACAAGTCAACTTTAGTTGTAGTTAAAAGGGGGAAATGGATGTGTTATTTCCTTGTGGTCTTAGTTTTCCCCTACTGTGGATACAGTTGCTTACTGATGACTGTCTAAGATCTGGTAGATAGTCATAATTAAAACCCAAATAATACATGATGGCTGTTATATGAAGAGTTCATTTATGGTTGCATGGGGAAAATCATCCAACCTGTATAATTTTTTTAACAGTAAACTGAGACTTTTATATCTTAAAAGGATTTTAAGTATCAATATGTAGTACAGCCTGAATGTATGTCACTGCCATAAATACTTTAAATTTATAGTGTAAGCTTTTTGACTTTGTTTTTATTACCAAAAAAATGCATAGAACTCTGAAGTTCTCAGCAAGTTACTCAGCTGCTTCAGATCTCTTTCAACCTCAAGGCCTTTTTGAACCACAGTATATAGTGTTTTAATCTTCAAAGCTCAAATTAACATGCCTAGGAATTTACAGTGTTTTCCTATTGCCTAGCACTTCTGTTCTAATTTAACGTGTATGTATTGAACATTGAGGACCTATGCATTAGGGTGCTTAGAACTATGTATAGGAGAAAAATCATATTACAACTCCAGCCCCACAGTTTAGTTTTGGAACTAAATATAAAACAGATGTCAAGGTATATCAGACCAACATAGAATTATACTGACCTGAGCTAGATAGGAGCTAGATAGGATGTTGGCCTTCAGTCCAGTAGATCTCAGACCTTCTTATGCATTGGAATTACTTAAAGGAGCTTTCTAAGACTGTACAGACCAAGATCCCAACCTGGGCAATTATGATTCAGTATCTTGTGATGGAGCTGGGCATATATATTTCTTTAATGCTTCTCAAGTGATTCTGTGTTAAGATTTGAGTGGGATCTGGAAGGTATGTTTTTTCAGAGTGAAATGCAGTAAGAAATGAGAAAGTAACCCAGGAGTAGTGGACATGGCTAATCTTGTCTGATCTCCGAAAAGAAGTGAGTTAGGGAAAAGAGGAGTGTGGATGTTAGGGACTTTTACAATGGTAGGCATTTAAAAATACTATCTCTCCATAAGGATTCAAGGTCACTTCTCTTTTTTCAGAAAAGGAAATCTACCTTTATTAAGATAATTACAGGTATTTGTGTCTCAGTTGGGAATTAAAGATGAGTAGAGCAGATTTTTTAAAAAAAATAGTAGAAATAAGTTTTCTAAGCTTATTTAGCTCTGTGTGTGTTTTCAGACTTCAGTGCCTAGCAGCAAGTCATCTGGTGACCTTGTTGATCTGTTTGATGGCACCAGCCAATCAACAGGTAAGCTTCCATATTGGCTTTTTCTTTTTATCAATAGTATTCTTGGTTTCAGAGTAATTTTTTTTAATGGCACATAAAAGATGGAATGAAAATTTTAAAAAAAAATTTTTTTGCATTAGATTTATTTTTAATGTGAAATTAATTCACTTTGAGCATTATTTGGGAGGAAGTGTTTAATTGCCTTAAATAAGGAAGGTGAGCACTTAAATATTTGACTGGTAATTCAGTAATCTCTCTCAATTTCTTTAGCACTGAGTATTTGGGGTCCCTTTGCTTTTTCTATAAGCAAAATGGACTGCTCTGCCCATTTCACTGTCTTTCCATAAATCTTAATTCTGGCTGTCAAACTACCCACGCCTAGAGTTCATTTAAACTTTTCATTCATTTATTCACTAAACATTTATCGAACCAGACACTGGCCTGGGTGCTTGCAGTATAATGCTTAGTAAAACAGTTCTTGCCCTCATGGTAAGGTCAAGTGGAGGAAGTAATCATTAACCAAAGAGTCACAAGTAGTTACCTAGTTACAAACATACAGAGTGCTTTGGAGGAAAGGGGCATTCTGTGAAAGTGTGACATATTTTAAAGAGGGCTGCAGCAAAAGAATAGTCCATTTACCAAGATTTTCTCACAGAGAAGATTAATGGTTTCTTCAGTTTGATGTCCAGTATGTGCTAGATTTTTTTGAGTAATTCCCTATAAATTGTTTTCAAGAAAATTGATTATTTTAGGTTGCATTTGATGATTATGGAGTCGTAATAAACTGTACTGCAAGTCAAAACAGCTTAAGAAATAAGACTTATGTTTAAAGTTCATTTCACATTAAAATGTAACTGGCGAGATTGGCATAGAAATAATGTCAAAGTAAATCTGTTGTTTCTAGTTGTGTGTAATAATTTTTCAAAACTGAATTGTTTTAAAATCTACATTAGTGTTTATGATGAAAATTACTTCTCACTGATAGTTTAGTACATATGATTAATTTAAAGTCTCCTATTATTTTCTCCCTGTCCTTGCCTACTATCATAAAATTAATTCTTAGACTAGGTGTGAACTTACTAGGGTGTCTGGTTCAATACAATTTCTGAGATTCTTCAGTTCCCACTCCCTTTTTTCTGTAAATGTAACTTCGTAAAATTATTCCTTAAACTCTATTGAACTGTCATGCCCAAGTTTGCAAACAACTACATTAGTTGTTTAACAATTTATGTGCTGTCTTTTTGTACATTGAAGATTTTCATAGTAGTATTAACTGGTAGCTAGCATGTAGTCATATAATACAGACTTAGTGTCACAGAATATCAACTATTTTGGATTTCCTGGTATGAAATATTAAAGAGCCCTTTTCATGCATCTGTGAAAATTTTTAATGGAGCAATCAGAGAAGAATTAACTAGGAAGGTCAGATGAGTGAATCTAACTTTTTTCCTTGGTGTTAGCCAGATTGCTTTGAGCAGAGAGAATTATTAAATACCAGCATGCTTCCTTTGCTTGGCAAGAAACCTTTGAGTGGTTTTTCTTCTCCAGTGCAAGCAGTAGATTGGCTAATTAAATAGAAGTAGCAATTAATATTAATACAGTAATTGAGACAAAGTCTGAATGAAATTTGGAATATTTCTTGCCTTAATGTTTTTATCTTAATAATTTCTAAAAACCAACCGAAAATGGGTTGACATCATAATTTTTTTTAATTGTTCACTGTTTATTGTTACGGTCACTTTTTTTTTAATTAATTTTTTTTTTTTTTTTTTTGGCTGCGTTGGGTCTTCGTTGCTGCGCGCGGGCTTTCTCTTGTTGCCGCGAGCAGGGGCTGCTCTTTGTTGAGGTGTGCGGGCTTCTCATTGCGTTCTCGTTAAGGTGGCTTCTCTTGTTGTGGGGCACACGGACTCTGGACGTGCGGGCTTTAGTAGTTGTGGCACAGGGCTCAGTAGTTGTGGCACAGGGCTCAGTAGTTGTGGCTCGTGGGCTCTAGAGCGCAGGCTCAGTAGTTGTGGCACATGGGCTTAGTTGCTCCGTGGCATGTGGGATCCTTCTGGACCAGGGCTCGAACCCGTGTCCCCTGCATTGGCAGGAGAATTCTTAACCACTGTGCCACCAGGGAAGTCCCCATAATTATTTTTTAAAGTTCACTCCTATTTGAAACAGTTTAACCACTTTGTGTAGAACCCCCTCCAATCAGTAAGATGAATTTCATTACTATGAATTTCTATTTAAATATTTTAGTAGTAATATATTTTAAATTGAATTCAGCAGTGGAAAAGAAATTGGATGTTAAATCTTTAGCACCTACATGTAAGAAAGTCTAAGACTCTACCATATTAGCATTGCTATTTGGTATGCCATTTGGGTGTCATTTCCCATATGTGCCTATATTTATAATACTGCTGTCATGCAAGTAATATGGACATGAACTGTAAACCTAAGCAGATACAGCTTCTGTACCATTCACCAGATAAATGTCTCCTTGGAGAAAATGCTCAGATTTTCTTTTTTTATGTGTTATTTCGTCCTTCTTGTTAGCATCTTCAGAAGTATATGTGGTAAAATCATTGTGGAATATCAACCAAGTTTAAAAGTACACATGTGAAACCCATTCATCAAAATTTTCTTGAGACTCTGATGATAAATGTCCCACTCTGGTGATGTTCTTTTAAAATCTGTACTCAAATGATATTTTGGTGACATTTATACATAGTATGTTTCTAAGTAAACATTTTTTAAATGAATAATAATGTATTTAGAAAATAAGCCAGTTACAAATATAATGCCAAGAACCATTCCACTTCATTTTTAGTATATCTCGTCTTCAGAGTTTTCGTTGTCTTCTTTTGTCCCTTTTGTAATTAAGGAATTTAGGTCTTGATTAACATACTACTACGTAAGTTGTTTTTAGTACAATGAATGAGGTTGAAGAGAAAATATAAAGACTTTACAAGGCTTGCAATATCTTTTGAATTTTTGGTTGTTAAAAAATATCTTTTAAGATTAACATATAAAATCCAAAATGTTCATTACATTTACATTTGAACCTGTTGCCTTGTACTCCGTTATCACTAAAGTTAGTTGAGGATATTTACATGGATGTGAACCACCTTGTTATAGCCAAGTTACTGGTTATTACAACCCAACTTACATATTAGAATTTTCATGGGCGTTGTCTCTAGTTTAACCTAAGTTTACTAAGAATAAAATGTTTTACCATATTCTGTTTTCACTAATATAAAAGTAGTGTGTGCTCATTTTAGAAATTTTATGGAAAAAAAGTAATTCACCGTAACTTAGGTGCATAAAGTTAACTATTAATAATTTTGGTGAATAGTCTTTCTTTAAACATTTTCTATATAATCAGTCAATATATTTATTTAAGCATTTATTTATTTATTTATTTTTCACAACTCACACACACACTGTATTTTATTTTTACAAGAGATAAACTGACACCAAGCATTGTAAATTAAGCATTTATTATGTTGCAAATCTTTTTCAGGCTTCTAGATAAAGATTTTATTGTTATTATATTTTTTTGTAAACTCTTTTTCATCTAAAATCTCATGACCATTTCCTTATTATAGTTGGTATTTTACAGACCTTTTAATTGCTTTATAATCTTAACATTGTGTAAATATGCTGTAATTTACTTGACCAGTCAGCCTCTTATTTTTTGGACATTAGGTTTTGATTTGTTTCCAAACTTCTCTCTGTTATAATATTTCATTCTATTTTGCATGTGTTTGATGACTGACTTTGAAACTTTTCATGGTTTTATATTGCTAGTTGTAACTTGTCTATTCATGTCCTTTGTCCTTTTTTTTAAATTGGGGTTGTTTATCCTTATCGATTTTTTAAAAACTTATTTATATTAGTTCTTCATCATATGTTTACAATTTTTGGCATTTCTATTAATTTTGTATTTATTAGAACTCCTTGTGCAAAAGTTTTCATAACGTAATCTAGATTAAATTCTTCGTTAAAGAATATTTCCGTTTATAGTTAAAGCACTGTCTAGTTCAACTATATTTTTCCTGTTCACAATGTTGCTTTGGAAAATACATGTTCCCAGCTGGTGATTGTAAATAACCTCCTTGCTTCCCTGAAAAGGCAGATGGAAATGGTTCATTTATAATGACACCTCTTGTGGGAATCTTGAAGGGTAGCTCTTATTGTGAAATTTAGCAGTCTTCCACATGCAGCAATTTTTGGTAGACTCTTATTTAGATAGAAGTTATCTGGGAAAAATGCTTAAGTATAGAAAATGTCTGTTAAATTTAAGGCATTGGTATGAATAACATCATGCATATAGGTTTGGATAGTCCCTCCTAGGAGGGAGAAACTTTTCCTAATTGAAATAAGAGATTTTTAATTTCTGAGATAGTTTCCAAAGTTGAGGATCACATTATGTAAAACACAGTAGAAGTATAGTCTGTGGCACTTCAGAAGATGGAGAAAAGTTAAATCCTTTTCAAGGAAAGGTGGCTTCTATTTGTTAAATTCTTAGGTGTGTTTCCACTCTTTTACCTCCAGTGTTCTTAAATTAGTCATGTTTGAAATTAAACTCCCTGTAGTGTGGATGGAAAGAATAATATTTGCTATAGACAAGTTATGAACGTAGTATAATTTTAGCTTAGGTGTTAGAATGTAGAGCAATAGAATAACAAAATAATTATTTGAAATGTTAAATTCAGGATAGGACAAAAATAAAATATGTCACCCAGTTTGAAGATGTGATTCACAGTATTCAGTGCTATACTCCACAGCATGAATTTTCTTTGTAGCCCAGACTGGATACGGTTTGAAAATTCCGAACTCATTTGGCATAATAAATTACATATTGATGTTTATTCACTGCTTGGATGAAGAAAATGAAAATAATCCCCTATTTTCAAATCCCTTAATGTTATAATAAAAGATGAACTATCATTCTGTTACCTAACAGTATACGTTGATCAATATTTTTAACATGAAGGAATATTACAGAAGACATACTTATGAATATTAAGCAG